ATGATAATTTAGCTCGTTTATCTGTTGATGAAATAGATTCTCGAAGTGGGGATGGCCTTTTCAAGGTAGGTAATTTTTGTGGTATGACTTTTTTATCAATGATGGGATGTAATTTTTTTGCTGATCTTGGTGGTGGAGGTTTTACTTCTTCCTCCAAACCTGTTGATCTGAATTTAGAGTTAAATGTTTTCACAGTCTTTGGCCGCATTGTAGAATCTTGAGAATTCTTTCTACTCTCAATGGAAATAGAAATGTTCTTCTTCTCTGGTACTGCAACAACTTTCTTTGAATCAGTCTTATTTTCTTTAGAACTATCCCGAGAGTCTGTTGATGATTTCCTTACAATCGCATCGCCTAATTTTTCCTCTTCCAACTTCTTTTTGGGTATTTTTCCGAATTTCGAACTTAATGCTTGTCCTTGAATCTTTTCTAATGTTGCTTTATCTTTTTCTGCTTGATCTTTCTTCTGTTTTTCCTTTTCCCGCTCTTTATCAGATTTATTTTTACTAGAATTATGTTTATTGGATGAATTAGATGAATGATGTTTTTCTTTGTCCTTGGAAGACTTGTCCTTGGAATTAGAACTTTTTGAACTACTATTAGAACTACTACTAGAGCGATGACTACTAGATTTGTAAGATGTGGAACTAGAACGATGTGAACTGGAACTTGAAGTATGTTTAGAAGAACTTTTGGAGGATGAAGATGAACTATGATGACCTTTTTTATCTGAACTACTAGATTTTTTGTCATCTTTTTTAGAAGAGTCCCGATTTTCTTTATTACTAGATTTACTACTTTCACTATTAGTATTGTCTTTAAGATCTTTAATGTCTTTGCTTTCTTTATTTTTAATAAGTTCCACATCAAGACTATCTGTGGAATCTACTATAGTTTGTTTCACTTCACTTGAAACTTGGTCTAATTTTTCAGATTGTGCAATGTTTTTTTCACAATCTTGACCACTAACTACACCATCACTAAGTTCTGTAGATGCTACTTCCTCAGAAGTTTGTTTCACAGGAAGGGTATTCTCCACAATATCTCCATTAACATCTATATTTGTACTATTTGTATTTAAAACACTATTAATATTAGAAGCATCTGTCTCCACTTTTGTAAGAATTTGTTTGCCTTCACGAATTGTAATTTTATACACAGGAACTGGAGATTGTGAAGATGTAGATACCACAACAAAGGCAGGTTTTTTTGATTGTGATGATAAGTGTTGTTGTATTTGCATCTGTTGTGGTTTACTAACAACTTGCAATTGTAAAGGTTGCACAGTTGTTCTCTCTTGTACCTGTTGTTGTTCTTGTGATGGTTGTTGCTGTTGTTGCTGCTGCTGCTGATGATGATGAATGTGAGATACTGCAATAGTTGATGTGGAATTTGAAATAAATTGCAAATCTTGCACTTGAACTGTTGCATTTTCTGTACCCTCTGGAACTTGTTGGATACCACAATGAATTGAATACTGTTGCTGTTGTGCTGATTGAGATACCAAACTTTGTCCCAGAACTCCTGTAGTTTGTACTGGAATAGTCATGATTTGTGCTGGTACAGAATTTGGTGCAGCTTCCCCTTTCACTATTTTTAACCATTGTTCAACCAATCGACTAGCTAACACTCTAACACCTTGATGACTACCTTCTTTTGATAAACCTTTTATTAATTTTGGACAATTGTTGCTTTTTAATCTTTCTATATCTACTGGGCATAATAATAGAAGTTCTAAAAGTTCTTGAATTAAAGCCCAATTTTTTGCAAGAATACCATCTGTAAGCCACATATGTATGAGATTCCATCCTCCAGCACCCATAAATCTAAATAAATAAACAAACAAACAAACAAAAGTAAAATTATAAATTATTCTATTATAAATTTTATTTGTTTCAAAAATATCTTTAAAAAATATTTTATAGAACTCTTATCAGTGAGTACAATTTATTAATGAAACTGTCCAATGGTTCTGAGTTCCTTTTTTATTCTAGCATACATTTTAAATTTTACATAAATATTTTGTATAAAATATAAATATTTATGTACTTTAGTATGCAATTATACAAATTTTTCTTTATATAAGTACAAGTTTTAAATATATATATATAAGTTTCAAATGCAAATAATTAATTAGAAAAAAATTTATACTTACTGACTAAGTAAATCTGTATTTGTAGTTTTCAATATTTGTATATAAATGCATTTTGAAACAAGTTTTTTGGAAAATTTTGTCATTAAACTAGCCAACCGATGAACTTCTTCTTTACTTTTTATACCTCCAGTTGGCCCCAATAAAACACTAAGACATTTCAATAAAGATAGAGGATCTATACGTGGCTGAAAAAGCACATGCAAGAATACATCACATATTTCAAGTTTTTATATAAGATAAGGTTATGTAGAATAATATAAAAAAATTGAATCTCAATCAAATTGAAATTAGTCTATTTTTGAATGATTTAATAAAATGATAGTCTGATATATCAGCAAAAAGTTATTTAAATTAATTTTTATTTCAATTATTATTTATCAATTTATATAATTGTCAATTTTTGCAATATATAATTTCAAAAACATTATCAATGTATTTATGCAAATTTAACCTTTACTATAAAACAATTTTTAAAATTATTATTATTTATTTTATATTTTATTTTATATATTTTATATGTGAGTTATTATTTTTATTATATAATTATAAATTGCATATTAAAGTAGAATATAATCAGAACAATAAGTAAAAATTTAAATATTAAGTAAAATATTCATCATATAACATCGCATATAAAAGAAAAGCGCAAAGATCATTTACCTTCCCCATTTTGTTTAATATCAGTATTCAAATATATATTACATTAGTTTTATAAAAACTTTCATAAAACTACATAAATGCTCATATTGTACGATCATTAAAAGTTGATGACGCCAGAAATAGGATATGAGGTCATATGAACGAAGGTTATTGATCCTATCGCTTTCCCCTTCCATTATATTTGTCGTAATTTCTCGTATATGGCGCCCTCTCTCAAAAAATTTACGAAGAAAAAATATAAGTGAATTTTAAAAAATAACATGACTTACCATTTTGATGATATTTTTGATGATTTAACGCATATTGGAGTACAATCATAGGATCATGACGTAAATCTGTAATAAAACACAGAAATATTCGTTTTTTTAATGGGTAAAAGTGATATACTTTTTCAAAGTAACGTACACGACACCGCCATATTGTCGAATTTTTTCACGCACATAAAATATAGCTATCAAGTTATTTATCTATGAATATAAAATTATTTCATTAAAAATTATTACCTAAGCCTAAATATATTTACACAGATAATTATTCGCAAATATAAAATTTTTAAATTGTTTTGCTATTCTCATTATCCTTTTATCGTACTATACAAATCATCTGTATCACAAATCGCAAGTATCAATTAAAAGAGTTTTTATGATAAATTTTCTCTATTTTAATAAGTTCAATATAGTTTCAATATTTCTTTTCATTCCCTAAGAAGAGGTAACTTTAAATATTGAAATTGAGGAATAAAAGTTATAAATGGGAAAACTATTAATCTAAAATGTAAGCTCCTCGGTTAACGGCGATCACTCGATGGTCAACTGGCGGATTTCCTACTGCGCAATATCTACGCGCATATCCCACCCAGAATGGTTACACAATCAACCAATCACGTTTAAAATTTTCTTTAACATCAACCAATAATTACAGCGATCCCACCCCGTGTCACTGACGTCACCGAATAATTGTTATTTTTAGCACACCATGACTGTTCATTTGTGCTAGAATTTTGCCAAAATTATTTTATTTATAGGCAATCACTAACACTTTTAATAATGCTTCAATAATATCCAATTATCACTCGTGCAAATTTAAAATATAATAAATAGCTTGCATGCAATTTCTATTATAAAAACCAGACATTCCCAACTTGTATCACTAATACATTATTGCTTATATATCACCTTATTTTAAGTCTTAAATATTTTTACATTAAATTTCTTCTATTTTTATTATATATATTTCTTTAAGAAATATATGTAAAACTATATAGTATATAGTAGTAATCTATTGAACAAACAATATTAGAGTTGATTCCAATCAAAAAATTGTTGAAAAAATATATAATATACTTCGGCTTTTTTGAACGACAGAAAAGCCACTCACATTTGATTATTAATTAAATCCTTTTTATGGAAAATATATGATCACAGCTGTGTATAAGAAATTTAACATTTCCTATACACAAAAACGATGTGGCCCTATGCTCTGTCGAAAATAGGCTATGCATCGGCAAATGCTACAAGATTGTCCAAAATCCGTGGATATCTTCTTGCTGATCTGCCATCTGTAATCAAATATTGTTTAAACATTATTTCTATTATTTAAGTGTTAATTTTTTTGTTACATTTTGTTAAATAATTCCGAAATTTATTTTTAACTAAAGTAAAACTATTCTTACCTAACTACGTAGAAGATGATGTTACGCCCAAACCGGAAATGGTACATCTATAAGTGAGTCAAGCATAAACCTTTTTTATTTATCATATTAGGATTATGAACAAATAAATATTGAATATAAAAAATATATGATTTTATTAAAATTTATTACTAAAATATATATAAAATATAAATCTTATAAAATATTCAATATATTTTTTGAGTTATTTCCAATATGTAGATATAACTGATATTTAGTCAAATGAAAAACTTTATTAAAGAATTTTTAATAGCAAACAATAATTTATTAAATATATTATATATATTTTTTCAAATAAAGAAATTATTTTTATGATTATAAAAAATTTATGTAATTCAATCTTTAAAAATTTATATTAATTAATATTAACAACTGATATTAAATCTTATTAAATATTATAACAAAATTTAATTGAACAAGTATTAATATATATAATATAAATTTATTATAATATTAAAAATTGAATAATTTTATAAATATTAAATAATAAGAATGCTATTTCTAAAAATTGTTGTGTAAGAATTATAGTTCATGTTACAAACGTATGCGCAATATATGTATTTATCTTTAAAAAAAAAACTATTTTATTAATATTAAAAATAATGTTGTTAATATTGAATAAATTACAGTTAGCTGGCTCACTTTTTCAAACTAATTTAATTATAAAAGTAAGAATTAGAAATAATCACGAACTTTTAAAAATGATTTAATATTCTAAATTTTTTTTAGGTTATATCAGTGAAATTTATCCATTCTACATTTGCAAAATATGACAAAATAGAAGATATTGAAAATAATACAGATTTACCAGTTCCTCCTTCAAAAGATAGAAGTAAAATAATTCCTGTAGATATTAGTATAAAATATCTTAAAAGTAGTGGTATGTAATTATATAATTTTTTTTAATTACATACTTTGTAATTTTAATTATATACATTTATAATTTTAATTATATTAATATGTTATTTATATATATTATATAATTTATTTATATTAGCTTATAAACAAACTTACGGAGAAGAACCTATTTGGAAATATTATAGACGAAATTTTAAAGGTCATATACCTCCAAAGAAAACACGAAAGACTTGTATCGTATGTTTTGAAGAAAAATTTAAAATATTATTTAATTTATAATTCTATAAATACTTTTAAATTTTTCTTAAAATTTTATAATTTTTTAAATAATTCTATAAAAATTTTAGAGAGATGGTATAGTTGCTACTGGTAATCCATGTCCAATATGCAGAGATGAATATTTAATTCTTGATTATCGTAATATTGATTTATTAAAACAATTTATTTCTAAGGATAGTGGAGAAATTTTAAATTATCAGTAAGTTTACTTTCTTCAAATATAGTAAAAGTTTTAAGCTATTAATATAATTATATAATATTATTTATTCTTTTTTTATAGTTTATTTTTATTTATTCTATATTTATTTTTTTTATTTACAGATATACTTGTCTTTGTCAAAAGGCTTATAAAGATCTACTTGTTGCAATAATGAAATCAAGAGAATATGGTTTATTTCCATATCATGTTCCTTTTAGATATTATAATTATTTAGAATGGAAATATTAATGCATTATTTTTAATTTATATTTGAAAATTTACATTTAAGAAATAAATCATATAAAATGGATGAAGAAAAATTAAACTGTACATTTTTAATAGTAGGTGGTGGTATTGCTGGAGTATCTTGTGTTGAAAGCTTAGCTTTTCTTGCTCCAGAAGAAAAAATCATTCTAATTACACCAAGTCCTTTAATAAAAACAGTCACAAATATAATTCCACTTGGTAAAACTTTAATGCAATTTGATATAGAAGAAAAAGATAGTACAGTTTTGATGAAAATACATGATTTATTAAAAATTATTAATGATTTAGTAATAAAAATAGATAGTTTAAATAAACAAGTGGAAACTAAAAATGGAAAAATTATAAATTATAAAATGTTATGTCTTTGTAATGGTGCTAGACCAAAACTTATAGAAAATCATAATAATTTTATATTAGGTATAAGAGATACAGAATCAGTTCTTCAATTTTCTCAAAAAATAAAGAATTCAAAAAGAATTGTAATAGTTGGAAATGGAGGTATTGCAACTGAAATTGTGCACGAAGTAGATGGTCTTGAAATGATATGGGTAATTAAGGATAAACATATTTCCGCAACTTTTGTTGATCCTGGAGCTTCAGAATTCTTCATGAACAAAATATATAAAAATGGTACATTTGTAAATGCTAATGTAAGTTCTTTAACTAAAAGAATGAGGTATACTGTCTCTGATATTACAGCTGTAACAGATGGACCAGCTTTAGGTCCAGATTGGCATAACAATTTTAATATAAAAAGTAGTTATCTTAAATCTGCAAAAATACAAATAGAATACGAATGTGAGGTAATTAAAATTCTTAATAAATCAGAACAAAAAGAATTTGATCCTATAGAAGAATGGCCTATATATGTTCAATTAACAAATGGAAAAATTATTGGTTGTGACTTCATTGTGTCAGCAACTGGTGTAATTCCAAATTCTGATATAATAGGTTTGGAAGATCTAAAAAAGGAAAAAGATGGAGGATTATTGGTAGATTGGAAATTAGAAACTTCTAAACGAGATATATACGCTGCTGGAGATATATGTAGTGCAGGATGGGAATTAGCAAAACATTGGTTTCAAATGAGATTATGGACTCAAGCACATCAGATGGGTCAATATGCAGCAAAATCAATGGTTTCTAAAATGAAAAATGAAGAGTTTCTACAAGATTTCTGTTTTGAACTTTTTACTCATGTAACTAAGTTTTTTGGTTACAAAGTAGTTTTACTTGGTTTATATAATGGACAAAAGTTGGATAATAATTACGAAGTATTATTACGCATAACTAGAGGAGAAGAATATATAAAACTTATATTAAAAAATGGTAAAATGCAAGGAGCAGTTTTAATTGGAGATACTAATTTAGAAGAAATGTGCGAGAATTTAATACTTAATCAATTAGATTTAAGTATCTATGGAGAAGATTTATTGAATCCTGCTATTGATATTGAGGATTATTTTGATTAATTATAATATAAAACTTATATAGTTAATTATTATATTATAATTATATTTTATTAATTTAATATTCATAAAATATGTTTTATTTAATAGGATACTTATTTAAATTGATTATTTTATTTGAGTAACTTTACAGACCTTATATAAATTTAATTAAACATTCATACAGAATATTTTATATAATATACATACGTAAATAACATTATATAACAGCTATGAATAATAAAAAATAAAATAATATAGTCATACTAAACATATTTTTATGTTCCACTTAATGTTTTTCAAGTATATTACCAATACGGTTTATTTATATAATAATATATTTCTCTAAATAGAAATCTTATTTAATTAAGTAATGTTTATTTTTACTAAGTTAATTCTTCTTTTAATTTATCTGTAAATCTTACACTTTTTTTGTCACACACAAAACTTTTATCATTATTACGTAAAGTAGATTTTGTTGGTGAAACAGATTTTATGTTGCAATTGAGACTAGAAACTGTCAAATTTATGTCAGAATTTTCAATTGTGCTACCATTAAAATTCTGAATAGAAATTACATTTTCATTGGTACATTTACTTATATTTTCTATTTCTAAAGTTTCACGTAAACTACAAATGATACTTTCCATATTATTAAGAGATTCCGGAATTGATTGAATTTCGCTATTTTTACTACATAATTTACGTATAGTTTTTATAGCAAATTCTATTTGGAGGAGACATGTATTTATAGTTTCTTGATCTTTTGAAATGTCAAATGTTTGATTATTTAATGTAGTTCCAAGTACGGACGTATCTAATGAAAGTTGTAAACTTTCATTTAAATGCTTCTTTACGGGAGTCATATTTATTGAAATCCGACTATTATTCAAAGAATCTTCAAAAGTTTCTGTATTTTCATAAGATTCCCAAGTTTCTTCTGATGTACATAGTTCCTTAATCGAATCTTCTATATCATAATCTCGCAAATGATGAACCCAATCTAAAAATCGCATTGGTTGCCAGAATGTTTCTTTCATGCTATCTTTGTTACGTATACGAATTACTGGTTTCAGACTTTTATTGACAATTGTTTGCTGTTGATCAAAATCCTAAAATGAATAAAATTATGCTATATGTATTAAAACATATTTTTTAATTATTATTTATGCAAATATCATAAATACCTACATAATTAATACCAACTTCTTTACATCGTTCAGTAGCTTCTCTTACTAATATTTGCATTTCATGTAAACTAATACCACCATCACTTATTGCTTCTTCGCTAGCTTTCATCTTAAGAGCGAATTCGACATTCGCTGTTCTTTCATTTAAAATACTTTCCAATTCTTGTAAGAAATTAGATTTATATGGCGTAATATTAACTTTACTTTGATCAAATTGTATTTGTTTTAATCTATTATTTGCTTCAATTTCATTTGCAAGTAATTCTTTTTCTAATTCTAATTCTTTTTTTTTTTGATGAATTTGTTCTAATGCAAGTTTCTGCTCTTGAACTGTAGAATCAAGAATTTCAATTTTACGTTCGTATGATAATTTTTGGGTTCCCAATTGCATTTCAATTTCTCGTTTTGCATTTTCTAATTCTTTTATTGCTTTCTGTTTACTTTCTTCCAATTCTGCTCTTAATCTATATTGAATTAAAAATAACAATTTTAAATAATGAATATTTATTGAATAAAAAGAATTATTATAAATTTATACTTTTCTTCTTGCACTTTAAGAATTTCTTGATGAGCAAATTCATAATCTACAGTTTGCGCTGAAATTTGTATATTACCATGCTTATCATTCGGATTTGAAACTTTAAAGTAATGATTACCGCCAATTACTAATCGATCACCGTGTTTTAAAATAACTTTGCCAGTTACGACCTATATAATAAATAATTTATAATTGATGAAAGTAATGCAATAAAATTATAAATGTAAAATATATTGTACCTGTCCATTCACAAATGTATCTCCTTCCATTTCTGAAGATAATATAAGTTTTCCATTATTGTTTTCAATAGTACTGTGAGTGCATAAAAAATCGATTAGAGAATCATTAAAAAGATTTATTAAAGTAAGCATATAAATAATTCCAACTATACATATATTTTTTTTATCAGATATAAATATTTAATTTTTTATACTTATGAGATAATGTAAAATTTGAAATCATTCAGAAATCACCATATAGTAATTAAATAACAGAAAACTATCATGCATATTTTTTTAAATCATAATAAATTAATTAAGGTAAGAAAAGACAAACATGCGTTGATGAGAGGCGATTAGTAAAAGAAAACAAAGATGGACAAAGTAAAACATTTTCCTGAATCACAATTCATGAGCAGCAAGTCAAAAAAACGAAGTAATGGAGAAAAAGATATACAAATGGAAAACATGAACAAGACCAAGAAATTTTTCAATCCACCGAATTGCAAACGACCCAACTAACCAGTGTAAAGGCCTAACCAGAGGTCCGTCCAACATGATATCCAAATTTTCTGAAGAATTCTCGCAATCAGAATTTTTTCCAATGCGAACCAATCCCGGAGGAATGAAATACAAAAGTATACCAGATAACATAGGATCAGCTGCGAGATTTATAAGACAAGGCTGTTTATCTTTCTCATAAAAATCGAGCTCAATAGCAATACCACAGCGACGTAAATATTTTATTTCTGAATTTTTCTTTTCCTCGGTATCTCGTAATTTTGTTTGCCAAATCCTGTAATTACATGTAACTAAACATTCAAATCTTTAAATTGATAAATATCCTTTGATCTATTTCTGGAATAATATGATTATCTAATTTATTTTTAAAATGATATCAAAATATATAACAACTTACATTAATTATTTCTAAAATAAATATAGCTTATGATATTATATTTGATTTACTTGTATTTATGAACTTACATTTGGGTAGTTGCAAGTTGTTCTTCAGTCTTCTTTAATTGATCTTTCAGTTTATTAATTTCTTCTTGTTTTTGTTTAATTTCATCGTTACTTTGATTAACCAATTCAACAGAATCGAGAAGACGACGTGGAAATATTCCAAGTTGCTTTTCGTATCCTTCGCGTACGCCGCGTAATCGCAACACTTCTGCTTTTAATTCTCTGATAGGAAAATCATAATTATATTTATAATTAAAAGCTTTAGGTTATATGTCTATTACAAACTATAAAAATTATATTGGTATTCTTTTGTCTTTTCTCTTCGAAGTGAAAGATCTATAATTTATTTAAGAACTTTCAATTTTATATATATTAATAATCCACATTAAGGAAAAATATTTTTGAATGATAATAAATATGAATTATCAGTTACATTTATGAGAAAATGTTTGTTACCGAATTAATTTTTCATGTGGATCTTCATTAATTCGAACGCGATTAACAATAGCTCGAGCTTGACAAGCATATCGAAGTGTTGCAAGCGTCTCTTCTATATGTATATTAGCTGGTGATATTGTTCCAAGCATTGCTGTTCTTGAATTTCCTCCGAGACTTTCCTAATATAATTAAAAAAGAAATTTTAATAGCTTCTAATAAACTACAGAATAAGCATGATTCTTAAGAACATTTTTGTATAAAAAAAAATGAAACAAAGTTATTGGACTTTATTAATTTATAATATGATTCATAATAAGTTTCATTAGTGCTCAAAAAATAGAAATTTCCTCTCAATGAGAGGAGATCTTCTCTTAAGAATGGTTACCAGATATTTATATATATAGATATTTATATTGTAAATTGTTTTGGGTATTTATCCATTGTTTACTGTTAATTATTATAATTGCTTACTATTATAATAAAATTATATCGTAAGAAGCGATATGATATTTATATTTTTTGTTTCATCTGTTTTATCTAATTTAATCTTGATTGTTTTGCGCATGAATAACCATTATCAGTATCTTATATGATAAGACAATAAAAGTTCGATTAAGAACGACTGTGGACTAATCTTTCATAAGTACCTATTTCGTTATCGATCATACCTTGACGTTTATTTCTTAATGTAATCCTGATATAATTAACCCATAAGACATAAAAAGACACAAAAAAATATGGAATAGTATGTGTATAAAAATATATAATAAAATCTATTAAGTTAACATTCAACTAAAATAAAATAATACATTTTATATATACTTTTACTATAATTTTTTATATTTATATTTATTATTACATATATTACATTATTATATGTAAAATGAAATTTCTAATATTTTAAACATAATTCTAATATTTTAAAAATAAAATCAATTAATTTTATTATTATATTTTATTTATTGTCAATAGAATAGTTGAAAAAATGAATCGATGCTTAATTGACGTCACAGAAAACGTCATAGAAAATCCAGTGTTTTTAAATTTATGCTTGAATATTTAAATTATGCTTTATGAAAAATTATAACTGTGATACATATTTATTTATTTTTTTTGTTTTGCGACGATAAAATTAATAAATATATAATATATAATATAGATATAAAATATCTATATCATAATTTGTTAAGTAGTTTTCTTTCTTTAAAAGATTAACATTTATTACGTTTTAACTATTTTCAGAATTAATGCATTTTAACGTATTTCAGAATTTAATAACATCATAACAAGTTTTTATTTCATTTTATAATTTTTCAGATTTATATATAATAAATAAAACTATTTTTATTCGTAATTTAAATTATTTAAAAAAAGCTTATAAATATATAATATTTTTTATATAATATTTTTTAGAACAATTTTTTTCTATATATATATCATTTTTTATGAAGCAATTATTAAAAAAAATTGTGTATATATATATATATATATATATAAGTATTTATGTTTCATTTATTTTGTTTTATATAATAAATTTCATCATATAATATATTCCATCCACCAATTATTAGATATTTACTATTGTAAAAATATTGAAATTGTAGGATCTAATTATACATTTCAAATTCATTATAATATAAATTCATTTAAAAAAAATTTTAATAGTTTCTAAAAAGTGCAGGTTTTAATAATGCAGGATAATAATACTACATAA